CTGATCAGGTTCTGGTTACAGTGGAGTCAGAGAATCAGACAGGCTGGTTGGCTCAGGGTTGCTGTACCGTGATTAACAAACACTCTGGCGTCGAGGTGTTGTCCACAGCCCACATAAGTACTGGTCCCCTGATGAGCAGATGAGAATCAGCTGGTGAAGGCAGCTCCAGGTTCAGGAGATCCAGTACGCCCTCTGGTGGAGGAATGTAGACAGCACCCCAGATGCCAACAGATGAACAGACAATCAAGAGGGGATCCTCGGCGCTCTCAGAACAGTCCATGAAAAGCAACAAACAAACAACAACCCACCCAGGGCGGGCGGAGTGGGCACCAGGCAAGGAGGGCAAGAAACCACAAAAACAAAGTCCAAAACAAAAAAAAACAACCCACCCAGGGTGGGCGGCGGGGGAACCAGGCAAGGAGGGCAAGAAAATCTCTGGAGGTAGAGTCTCAGGTGGCCGACCGTGGGGCAGGCGACGAAGGGGGTCCATTAGGGAACGACGTCTCCAATACTGCAGGAACCACGGAGGAAGACGACGTCTCCGTTGCTGCAGGAACCTCTGAGAAAGACGACGTCTCCGTTGCTGCAGGAACCTCTGAGAGGGACGACGTCTCCGAATCTGCAGGAACGTAAGCTGAGGACGCCGCCTCTGTTTCAACAGTCCAGCAACAGTCTCAGAGGGGGCCGCGGACTGCGGCTCTGGAACAGGGTCCGAGGGGACCGCCGACTGCGGTTCTGGAACTGGAGCAGGAGAGATCGCCGACTGCGACTCAGAAACAGGCCCAGAGGTGACCGCCGACTGCGGTTCAGGAACCGACTCTGAGGTGGCTGCCGACTGCGGCTCAGGAACAGGCTCTGAGGTGGCCGCCGACTGAAGCTCAGGAACAGGCTCAGAGTTAACCGCCGACTGCGGTTCAGGAACAGGAACAGAGGAGACCGCCGACTGCGGCTCCTGATCAGGAACAGAGGAGACCGCCGCCTGCGGCTCCTGGACAGGAACAGAAGAGCCCGCCGATTGCGGCTCCGGGTCAGGAACAGAGGAGCCCGCCGATTGCGGCTCCGGGTCAGGAACAGAGGAGCCCGCCGACTGCGGCTCCGGGTTAGGAACGGAGGAGCCCGCCGATTGCGGCTCCGGGTCAGGAACGGAGGAGACCACCGACTGTGGCCCCGTATCAGGAGCGGAGGAGACCACCGACTGTGGCCCCACATCAGGAACAGAGACCACCGACTGTGGCCCCACATCAGGAACAGAGACCACCGTCTGTGGCCCCACATCAGGAACAGAGGAGACCACCGACTGTGGCTCCAAATCCAGCATGGAGGAAACCGCCCATGGCGGCAAAGGTTCAGTCTCTGAAGTGGCTTGTGATGCTCGCAGAGGGCTCTTGGCGGTCAGGGGAGCCTGCAGAGAGGTCCTAGGAGGCATTAAACCACATACCTCGAATTCTGACACCTCTTTAAAGTTCTGCTCAGGGGTCTCTGGACGGCACAAAGCTAAATCAGGGGTCTCTGGACAGCACAGAGCTAACTCAGGGGTCTCTGGACGGCACAGAGCTGACTCAAAACGGCTCGGGGCTGGCTCAGGGGTCTTTAGACGGCTCAGAACTGGCTCAGGGGTCTCTAGACGGCTCAGAGCTGGTTCAGGGGTCTCTAGACGGCTCAGAGCGGGCTTACGGCGACGCCGTCTCTTACGTCGGGGGGTCTTAGAAGTCTGACTAATGGGTTCTGGTTTACTGACTGATTCTGGCAACAAGCTATCTGGTGTGCAAGAGGGTTCAGGTTCTAGGCTAGCTGGATTGCTAACAGGCTTAGGAGTGGGACTAACTGGTCTAGAAATGGATTCAGATGCTAAGCTAACTGGATTATTATGAGATGGCAAGAAGGGAAAAAGATCATCTCTATCCCCATAATAGAAGTTCCAGAGGTCCGACTCTTGGATCTGGGGAGCTCTGACTGTAGAAGGTGAGAATACTGGACCTATTCTAAGCTTCTTGGTGGATGGTGCTAACTGACGATCAAGTAAGTGGTGGCTGAGACTGACCTGGCGTAGATTGGAAAAGGGGTACTGAACCGGAAACTGAACATCTTTCCCCTTAACTGGGCTGAACTGGACTGAACTGGGCTGAGAAGGACTGAACAGGGCTGTACAGAGCTGTACTGGGCTGGACGGAGCTGGACTGGGCTGGACTAGGCTGGACTGGGCTGAACTGGGTTGAACTGGGTTCCTAGATCTGGGCTTGGCTCTGGCTCGTAGTCTGTGATCTTGATAAATAGAAATACAAATTAGCTCTTCCAAGGTTGCAGGTTCATTAATAGTTGCCAGTTTGTCCCTAATTTCTTTATTTAAGGATTTGAGGTAGATGTTTTTTAGCATTGAATCACTCCAACCCGAAGCAGCGGCTCTGACCCGGAAGTCTATTGAATATTCTTCGACGGTTCTATTTCCTTGTTTTATGTTAGACAGACCATGAGACTCAGCAGATTTGCCGGAAAAAACTAGAGGGAATTCGTTTAAAAACTGTTCTAAAGTACAGGTAATAGTGGATTCAGGAGAAAAACGGGTCTCTTTCCATTCGCGGGCTTTACCAGATAAT